ACAACGGGCTTTCGGTGCCCATCAGGATCACAGCAGATGCCAAAAACTGAGAGAAGTGGAGGGCTTAGGAGTAACCACAGAGCCCACGACTGCAGTGTAAAAGCATCCCAGTGGGAGAGAAAATACTCAATCCTGAAAGGCTGTTTTATCAAGCAGAGAACCAATGGCTATAAATTGAAGTCTGACATTTAGAATGAGATTAGAAAGATTTGTAAAATTAAGGGGGAACTAGCCATTCGGTTGGAGGTATCAAGGATGGCATCATTAGATCCCTTCTGGGAGAGAACAGCCTGGCCCTATCCACTGCACTGACATGCACACTACTGGGGCAGCACAGGGAAGTCCCCAGCTGGAATGTGAAGTTAAGTGAGATAACTGCATCTGCTGACACTGCTCCACGGAAGGCAAGACAGGCCAGGCTGGTCAGTACCAGCAAGCTTCCACTAGGCCGTTTGATCCTGGTAGAGGACTTTTTAGTTGTACCATGCTACCTCCAAGAGGAAAATCTTGTTTTTATCTTTTCTATTCTTCTTCTTTTTTTTTTTTTTAATTATTTTTTTTAAATAAGCAAACAAAAAACAACAGTTCCTGGAAGAAGTGGAATCTTAGACTTTATATTTTCCTCACAGCTCTTAGAATGCTCTCTACACTCTGCCCTTTGGGGACCAAACCTTCATTCCCAATTCAGTTCTACAGTGTGAAAGAAGGACACCTTCAGCTAATTTACATCTAAGTGAGCATTTGCCAGAGTAAAGAATTAAGGTCTTAGTGTGCAAAATGGTTCCTGTGGCAGTACTAATCAATACTTGTTTGATGGATTGCCTGCCAGGAGTCTTTCAGGCACATCATTTCAGCTGCTAGACTTTCTGCTTGCTCACTGCTTAACAAAATAAATAGAGATGAATCATGGTATTTAACATAAAACTCCAACCCAGAATCAAAGCTGTTTAAAATGCATAGTGGTTTGCCCTGCTCCATCCTTCCTTTCCTTTTGCTCGGAGAGAATGCTAAGTCCCAGCACCCCTGGAGCAGGCACAAGGTTTGCATGATAACCACTTCACCAAGGACGGCCCTTTCCTCTGCAATCACTGACTGCAGTCCCAACACAGGGCTTCGTTTTTCTCTGCCCCTGAAGCAGGAGCTGGCTGAGAAAGAAAGAATTGAGATATATTCCTGCGTGGCTGATGGGAGGGTGATATTTCACATATGCCTTTCTTAGCTGCTGTGATGCAATGCACAAACTGTTCCTTCTGCTCCTGAGCCTATTGTGCTACTAATCCACGTGAAAGCTCCCAGCACTGAACCGTCCCCATCCGCAACTGCATCACACTCAGAACTACAAGCAGCAACACAGAGCCAGGTTTTCAGAAGTGTTCGGCTCCTCAGTAATAACAAATGTGTGTTTGGCTCTCCAAAAATTCACATTTCTATTCAGAAACATAGTAGCTGATTTCTTTATCTAGCTTGAAAATAGATGATGCATTTCTTGAAACTCTGTACGCCTACAAGCCACTAATAGCTTGGGAAAGGGTGAATAATCACAGCGGTGACAATTCTGGCCAGAGAGGAAAGCCAAACTTCATCTAGCAGTTCTTCCCCTCTCATATCTCACCAACCCCCCTCGCCACCCTGCAGCAAAACTCCACCAGTCAGGTGGCCAGCTTGAAAGGGTGCAGGAGCTGTGCAGCCAGGAAAGCCAGAAGGCAAATTCTGGGGAGTACAGCAGCAAAGAGGAGATGCACTCTAGGGTCCCAGGGCAGCTACCCCAGCACTGGGGTGCTGTGAGATGTTAGGGCAGCAGGAGTACACAGCACTTGGGCTCATGGGTGTACAGAGCCAAGAGCAGAGGTGTTCGGGAAAGAGACAAAGAGAATACTTAACTTCTAGAAGCTGGTGGGTTTCAAATAAAGTGAAGCTTGCAAGAGAGAGCAAGAGGGGCTCTGCATCACACACTGCATCGAGGCACAGAGAGGTCAAGCAGCTCATCTGGTACAAGGACAGCTTAGAGCCAACAATAATAACCCCACCCAGTGCTTTGCAGAATGCCTGTAGGGCTTACCAACAAGGTCATTCTGGCCTTAAAACCAGGGACTAATTCTTGTTTTCACTATCCAAGGAAAATTCTTCATTCACAAGTTTTTGCTTTAGTTTTAGTAACTCGTTCTGTTTTCAATATCCTTCTCTCTTTTCTACAGCTTTCTTGTAATCCAATATATCCATGGTTAATAATTGCTGTGGTACTGAATTCTTTGAATTATACATAAAGGATTCAAAAACAATCAGAGAAGAACTTAAATATTTCATATCAGACCTCAATGTTTTATGATTGCTTGCAGAGTGAAATTAGTAAGGACACTTGGCCAATGCTGTATAATTTATGCTGGGCTTAAGCAGGAAAATTACAGAATTGAACACACAGAATTGTGTGAGGTTGGCTGGGACATCTGGGTCCATCTGGCCCAACCCTGCTCCAGCAGGAACAGATAAGCAAGGTGCCCAGGCCCATATCCAGGCTCTTTTGAATTTCTCCAAAGAGACACCATCACCTCTCTGTGCAACCTGTGGCAGTGCTTCATCATCTCCTGTGTTCCAATTTGTGCCCATTGTCCCCTGTCCTGGTGCTGTGCACTAGGCTCCATTCTCTCTGTGCCTTCCCTTCAGGTGTTTATACACATTACCAGGATCCTCCTTGAACTTTCTTTTCTTGATGCTGGACAGACCCAGCAATCTCGGCCTTTTCTCACTCCTGTAAGGAATGGAATGGAATGGAATGGAATGGAATGGAATGGAATGGAATGGAATGGAATGGAATGGAATGGAATGGAATGGAAGAGGTGCTCCATTCCTTCATCTACTTAATGGCCCTCTGTTGGACCCTCTCTTGCAGTGCCCTAAAACTCCAAGTGTAAACTACAGTAATTTAAAAAAAAAATCTGTAATGTTATTTAATATTGGATAGGAGAATGTTTCTATTAAATAAGGGGTATCCTGAATCTTAATTTGCAACACTATCCTTCCAAGCTCACTGAAAGAGCAGAACTTCCATTCTTAGTTTTGTAGTTGTGCTTTCCTCCTCCCACCTGGCAGGATGAAGGCTACTGAACAGGGCAGCACCAACCTCTGCCCTCAATCCAAGCTACTGCTGGTTTTGTTTATTGTGCATAATAACAGTTTTATAGGACAGTAAACAATAGCAACAATCTGACCGTGGGCAAAATGATCTGTGTGCCTTTTTCTTTGTCTTCCTTAATCTGTCTGTTTTAACTACTTTGCCTGCTAATGTTTTTGCTCTGCAGTCAGACAGTGCATCCTGACTTTACTGCAAAAAGCCCAATAAAGCACTTACCTCTGAATTTCAGTTTTTGAGAACAAATGGGTTGAAATAACACTGTGAAGCCATAGGGGGCTTGCATATTGCTTAGCATAACAGTGCTGGGGTGATGACTGCAATACAAGAGACCGCTAATAAATCTGTCTGAACATTAACTGGGGTTTTCAGGTAAGAGAGGTGCAGATATGCTATAATTGCAGTGATCTGGTAAGTTGTGAAGTCTTCTCTGCTGGCAATTCAGAACTAAACAAACTGAGATTACTAGTGAAGAATAAGACAGTAAGACCAAGATGGGATGATCTTCACAAAGGAGGTAAAGCTGCTGAAGTACTCTAGGCAGCTATGAGAGGAGAGTGACCCTGGAGTGTGAGATGAGAATTCACCTCATGTATGTGCTCACAGATTCCCAGGTGAGCCAATCACTTGGACTTTTTCTGCTTCATTTCTGCCTTCAGGACAACAGCATGTGCAAAGATAAAATGTGATGCAACCAGAGCAATCTAAGTACTGGGGGGCACAGACCACAGGCTATCCCAGGTTAGAAGGTATCCATAGGATCCTCAAGTGTAACCCCTGGCTTCTCACAGGATCACCCAAAACCCAAACCCTGCATCTGAGAGCAGTGTCCCAACACTCCTTGAACTCCAGCACTGGGGCCGTGCACCGCCCTGTGCATCCCGTTCCGTGCCCACCGCCCTCTGGTGCAGCCCCTTTCCCTGACCCCCACCCGCCCTCCCCTGACGCAGCTCCACGCCGTTCCCTCAGGCCCTGTCGCTGTCACACACAGCAGAGCTCAGCGCTGCCCTCCGCTCCCTGGGAGGAGCTGCAGCCGCCGTGAGGGCTCCCCTCAGCTCCTCTGCTCTGCGCTGAGCGCCTTGAGGGTGCTCAAGCATCCCCACACACTGTGTCCTCAGACCCTTCCCCATCTTTGTAGCCCTCCTTTGGATGCACTCTCATAGTTCTACGTCTGAAGTACAAAGGCTGAGCAGAATCTATCATGTAAATACTGCTTTGCATTAGTCATTTGTAAAGCCTTATCCGGTAGGTGTCACAGCTGAGACAGGCTGCAAAGAGGGATTTTGACCTCTGTAGATATGGCTGCTTACTTTTAAGGTGATCACTGATTTTTCTACAGGTCTACAATTACAGAAACCTGAAAGATCTAAACTGTCTCTCAGAGAAGACCTCTGAGATCTCAGATAGGGACCCAATCCACGGTGAGCATAGAGACTGAATCTCTTCAAGAGCAAATAGTACAAAACCAATGGGCCAGTAAGAAAGAGGCATGGCACAGGAAAAGGCATTTGCTGGGAAACCTTCACATGGAAAGATGGGAAGGAGGAACAAAGGATGACAAACTTCAGCTAGTCAACACTACAGCTAATACAAGCAGCCAAATAAATGCAGTGTTTTCTCACACCCATCACAACCTGAGCAGAAGCAACAATGACCATTAACTATGGCAGCCTTTCATCATTCAAAGTGGAATAGACCAAGGGCTGCAGAAACTTACAGGGACTCAGTATATCTGCTGAGGAAATGTAGAATAAAAACTGTACTGCAATGGAAGGAACTGAATGGATAAGGGAGGCTGGTCCCTGGACAAAATCAGGATTCCCAGGCATGGAATGGCAAACTTGAACAGCTTACTGCAGAGAGCATTTGCATGATTTCTTCTTTTTTTTTATTTTTTTTTTAATTATTTAAAGTCTTTTCTTTGGGAAGAAAGGCAGATCAGATAAAATTTAAAGGGGAAGTTTTCCAGGTTTGGCACCCCAGCAAATCTGCAGTGCATGGCCCACAGAGGTCAGCTCTCAGCTGGTGAAAGACAAAGACATGCCCTCTGCCTTTAGCATCCAAGCCGTCTCTCCCTGACCTTACCAAAGTCAGAGACAGTTGCAACAACTGTGGTTTTGGCAGTCAGATTTTTTTCAAGCCTAACTACTTGAAGCTTGAATTGAGTCAAATGGGTATTTAAATCCCTCAAATTCAGAGAAACAGCCTTGGTGAGTCAGAAGGAAAGGACTGCTCCTTTGATTGATCACATCTGTGACTCAAAGCCAAGTATGCATTCGAACAAGTTAAACCATCTCCAGGGCTCATAAACATTGTGCCAGGCCTTTTGTGTTTTCTATTAAAGCCATGCCAGTACCCGAAAGCCTTGCTGTTTGCAAATCATGGGGATTAATATTTATTACTGTTGAATGTACACGGTTGAGTCCCCTGCCCTGGAGAGTTTGCATTTAAATAGTACAGGAAGAACTGGCACATGCACTCAGCCTTGGCCTTTGTCTGCTCCCAGAGAAACTAGGGGTGAAACCTTTCTGGCTCCCAAGCACACAGCAGATCAGGCTGGGTTGGACTGGAGCCTGTGCTTCCAAATAGCTCTTGCCTGGGCACCCTCTGAAATCAAGAGAGGACAAGTCCCAAACTGCATGATTGGCATATGTCCCCTGGAGGATATCTGCATCTCCTAATGCTCGGCAAGGAGGCCCTGTCAGACTACACTCTGAGCTAAACATCACATCAAGAGACATCTGATGAATCATGAGCACAGCAAGAGCCCAAAGGGCTGTAAAATACCTCTAGGGACTTGTTTGTGCCAGATCTCTTAGAAAGTTCAAGAGGAATTAGCGAAAGATGTGAATCAAACTGCTGTGGAGAACGTGTTCAGAGTTTAAAAGAGACTCTTGCAGGATACAGCGTGCTACACTCCAGAAGCCAGAATGCATGGTGGCCATCTGAATCAGAGTGCCAAAGTGTTTGATGCAGTACATCCCGTGCATTTTAAAGCAGTTACTTCCCCTCAGATGCATCTATGCAGCCAAGCCCTTTGTGGTGGCATCACCTGCTGCACGGAAGTGAAGGGTCTTTGAGTTACAGTGGAGCTCTATCATTGTGTTTCTGAAAAGAGAGAGCATCCATGTGATGCATGTTGTGGTCACAGAGACTTCATCAACTCATCTTACCTTTCTGACAGCGTGCAAATAACCCCTAAGAGAAATGATAAAAGAACAAACAGAAGGTTAGTGAACATGCAAGCCAAGGTAAACCAAGGGATCCCACCTTGTCAGATAGAAAGATATTCTGGGAACGATATGCAAAGGTCCCCACTCTACACACACAACACTGTGGAAATGCCACAGTTGTGAGATTCAAGCAGCAGACGAGCTAATGTCTGAAATTCCTCAGCACCACTGCTTCCTGGGTGGCTGCCTGTGGTGTCAGAGCCCCGGGTCCTCATGGACAGACTGACCAGGGAGGCTGAAGCTGGAGCAAGAGAACATCCTTTCATGTCCAGATGGTCCACTGGAAGAAAAGAGTCCAATCCACCTGTAAAAATTTCTTTTTTATTGCTGTAGTCTGACGTTTTGGGTCTCTCTGGCAGTTTCACTGCTCTTAGAGGTTTACCTGCCTACCTGTCAGTGAGGGTTATTCACCACAAGCAGCTGCTGCTCTGGGTTCACTGATCTTCTCAGCGCCCAATGTCAATAGGATCAAGACTCAAAGCAGAGCCAATGAGTGATGGTCAGAAAATTATCCTAAAAGGAATTTGGAGGGAGGAAAAAAAAAAAAAAAAAAAAAAGCAAATGAAAACAAGGCTCTCTGAGGTTTTGCTGTACAGGTCCCCATCATCTGCCTACGTTTTGCCCACACACCATTTAATCAGCGTGCCAGGGAGTCTGGTTCCCTGCCAACACGAATGTGGATTCTGACAATTTGTCTAAAGTGCACTCAGAAATTGCAGCTAAACAAAAAGACAACTTCTTTCTTCATGGTGTTTTTTTTTTTTTTTTTTTTTTTTTGATTTGTGTGTGTGTTTTTTTTTTTTTTTTTTCCAGAAACAATTACAACCTCTAACTGCCACCCACACCTCAGTTGCCTGAGAAACGCAGCGTGGGAACGGCAGCGGTAGCAGATTCAGGTTTTACACCATAGTTGCTATCATTGGCTAGCTGTGAGGCCCCCACAAAACCATCCCAGCAGGATGTTTCAGCCCAGACAGAGAGAGTACTGCCACCCCAGGCACAGCCCACTTCAACAGCCTACCACAGCAAACATCACTCTGGGAGAAGACAGGGGTGTAAAAATTGGTGTCGGCATTACTCCAGAAATTACTCTGGCTCCATCCACCCTGGTCTCAGTACTTCATGTTCCCGCACAGTACAGCTCTGGACGGGATGGAGAGCAACATGCACTGAGAAGTGTATGGTATAGAAGAAGGGTATAACATGTGCTTTTGTCTCATCAGAAATGCTTTCCACACCTGACATCGCAGCAGTGCCCCAGTTGCCACCTCATCCAATCTACTTCCCAACTGACAGGGCACACACCTGTTCTGCAGGTTGTATCCACCACAAATTTATAGAGACACACATCCTTGTTAGCAGGCCGTGGCTGGAATTCACCTGAAAAGACAAAGTGCTCTTCTTTAACACTGGACATGTGGGCAGAAGAGTGAAGCTTGCTCAAACCAATTAAAAATATTCACCTTCTCAGAGGTGATGGAATGTCTCTATGAGCACTTCTGAGCTCAGAATCAAAGGGTGAGGGGAATGGACAGAAGGATGATTTATGTCTGACAAAGACTGTTCCTTCGGGGAAGAAAAACACACAAACACAAATTCCACTTTTTTTTTTTTTAACAATCTCTGCACAGTGATTCAGGGGTAAGTTTACTTTCTGTGAGTGTTTGTTTCCCTGCTGTTCCCAACAAAGACATTCCACATCCAGTAGACAGTGCACAGACCCAGGGATGTTGCTGTCTTCCAAGCTACAAAGCACAGAAAGGAGTATTTATCTTGGCTGCCTCTGAGCAGTCTTCTCTGAAGGCCAGCACACAGCACCCTCTCCTGACCTCATGGCAGCCCTGACAGTGTTCAGATCTCCCCTGCAAACAGTGGGGGAACATGAACCTTTTGCCAAAAGACAAAGGAAGGTGCTAGGCAACCTTCATAGGTGGCTGCTTCTTTCTTATTAATGGGTTGCTTTTTCAAATGATAGATGGATCTGTATGCAGTTCACTTGCCTCCCATGCTATTTCTTTACACTCTTGTTCAGTTTTCTCCTTGCTTTCAGCTTCCAAACCATTCCCTCTCCCCTACTGCAAACCCTCCCTGCCATTTTTTTTTCTGCAGAGCTTCCTATCCCTGATGCTATATTCTGCAGTCTTCTGCAGTTTTCCAGCCATCTGTACATTTCACCTACATTTCAAGACTGCATGGATAAAGATCCCCCAGTGCCTTCACAAGTGCAGACAAGTAATGTTTGTTCTTAGAGAAAACACAATGCTTCTGCACTACAGAAGTCTGTCACTGAGATTTTAGCTCACAGGCCTTGTTTTCTCAAAATGTCCTTTTAATGTCATTTTTGCATTCTCAGTATTCATCCTTTTAACCTTGTGGCCACTGGCAGAGCTCCTGCATAATTCAAATATTTCCAAGTATTCTTACAAACATCTCTTTAGTTGTCTGGGTCATTAAACTTGTAGTGGTTTACAGTAAGAGGGAACTGTCCTGGAGCCATTCTCCCCATTCAACTTATTTCAGAAACCAACTCAAACCACTACTAAGAAAATGGTCAAGCTATTAAATAAGGAATATATCGATTACCCAATAAACACAAAACCCTCACTTGCCTACAATTATACTGTTTTCTACACGATTATACAATTACAGAGCTTTTAATCAGTTTAATCAGCTTTTCCATACTATGTGTCACACAGAGCTACCACTCAGTTACAAATCCACCGCGCTTCCCTCTCCACATCACCTACAACCCGAGTGCAAATCTATCCCTGTGCACCCCACCCCCACACCAATTTTTTCAGACACAGTCCAGATGGAAAGTCAATGGGTCATCGCACAGGAACTGCCTCAGGCTTGGGTCTGTCAGTCAACAGCACTATCATTCGTAGGCACAGGCACTCCTCCCCTCAGAATATTCCCCCATCCGTTGTTCTTCACCTGATTTTCTACCTTATTCATCACTGTTTCTATTTCTGGCAACCTTTTTGCCTCTTTCATACCTTCCTTTCTCTGCTTCAGCTGCTCTGTAAGACTGGTATTACTTGCCCATGGCTGGCCCAGTTCTGCTACCTCTGTATACAAGCACATTTTTTCCAAAGTTCCTCCTGGGGCAATGTCAGCTTCATGTAGTACCGCTGATGATCTTCTCTAAGAGGAATTGGTGTGCTTGAGATGATCTACAAAAGAAAGATCCACATCACCTGTGTACCCTATGCACCCAAAAATTAGCTGTGGAATGGTGACCAGAAGAGACACCCTGTAACAAATGTGATCATTAGAGCAATCTCAGAGTGGCTGGCAATCTGCTGTGTAGTAGTCCATTTTTTTCTAGCATGGCCCAATTTTAGGGAGAAATGATTAGTATGGTGGGTGGTATAATTTCTTCTGAAAAATATCTGTTTAGCAGCAAACATAGAAAGAGCAGGAAAATGCAATGACACTACAGCTAAAAACCTGAGTCATCATCATATCATTCTCCGCATAATGCTCCAGGCTCTTAAAAGCCTCCAGATATTTTTGCCCTTGCCTTGCCATTTAGGAGGCCACCGCAGCACATCAGTACTTTGCTATCTTAAGAACTCTTCCAATTTCAAACCTAGAGATATCCATGACAACTTTAGACCTATCTGTGCTTTACTTTGGGGTGAAGTCACTCTCTCATGCTAGATTATTTATAAATAGCTGAAGACATCTGTAGCTTCTGTGGACTGTGGAGATTTTAGCTGTATATATAAACTTCTGGGTTCACTTGATAGTTTTATTACTTACTCGGAAATGTAAACTGAAAATGGACAACAAAGAATAAAGAGAATGTGCTCAGAGTTGACTTCGTCAGTTAGGAAGACAAAATAGAAAAAGATGTAGTGATTAGCACTGGCATTACCTTTAACAAACAGTCAAACATTCATTTGGACATTAGAAGAGGCATTTAATACATCTTCCTAAGTATAACTCCCACTCCACTATCAATTCTATAGCCCTTTCTTAGAAGACATAGTAACCCATGAACAGGTATTAGGACCAGAAACTCTCAGAGCTTTGAAGTATCCAAAGTAACCAGGATAGGAAATACAGGAACAGCAAAGAAAAAGTCTGATATTCCATAGCATAATATGAAAAGAGCGTAACTACCTCAAAGTCTTGCATTCATCTAATGTGCCAAGTTTCTAGGAGGGGAAAAAAACCAACTTATCTCACGATGGTCATTTACAGAGATATTGGTAAGAAAAAATACCTTCCTTACCACTGTTTCCAAACAAAACCTCACAGGCCTGTTGTGAAGGTTCTCTGTGCCCAACCTGCTATTGAAGGTGTCCTGTTACCTGTTCATCAGTCTCCTCCGCTCCCACAATGAGCCACATCCAGTGCAAGAACAGGAAACACAAAATTGCTTTCTATGCATTGTGCAGTCTCCCTCACTCTGGTGAACCCACTCTCACCTATATTTCTGCATTCCTTCTTTTTCTTTAGTGTCCTGCTTTTCTGTCACGGGTCTTGTTTCCTTCCATTCACTAGACCATCAGCAATTTCCAACCCAAGCAAATCTCAAGCAAAGTGTTCTGTAAAATGGTTGAGGTCATTTTTGAACAGGTGATCACTGCAGCCTCCCTCTACCAATCCATCTGCTTGCAAACCCATCTTTAATCACTTATTTCTCTTCCTGTCTTTTCACAGCTAAGTGGAGGTAACTTCATAGCTTATACATTCTGTAACAGCCCATACATAAGGCAACCTGTTGCAGAGGTACAAAGAGAGATACTCCAGCTGTCCTCACTGAGGACTAGTGCACGTGCCCTACTGCTGGCCCCAACCACATGTCTCCTCAAGATTCCTGTGATAGAGAGTGTTTGCTGTACATCTTGTAGGGCCATAATGCATTCTGCCATGCCAAGGCATGCTGGTCCAGACTGTGTTTCTGTAAGGTATGCAGTACACACACTCTCCAGCTCTGGAAACTTGGAGTCTGCTGACTGCCAGAGGAGAGCAGGGTGCTCTGGGGAACAGCTGTACAAGCTGGTGGATGCACATTTTCCCCGAGCAGGTCTGCCCAGCTAGGGGTTGCTACGAGTCCCCAATACCACCTTCATGTTCCCATGCATACGAAGGAAAGGTAAGGGCTCCAAAAGAAACCATTCAATTGCAGAAGATGAAATACATTTGGTTTATTTCTTTCTAAAGTTTGTACATATACATATATCATTATACATATGTGAGATCCTTCACTAGGGTTGCTTGAGTTCAATTACATAAAAATTATTGAGAAGCTTGCAGGCTCTCTGTTGCCCGTAAGCAACACTTATTCCAGCTTATAAAAACACAGAGGAACAGAGTAATAGTCAGGAACATGGACACAAGAGAGAATTCTACTTTATATCTCACAGTTTCAATACATCAAAGGCAAATTATTTGTCTGTATACCGTAGGCTTACTTTATCAGCAATGATAAAATAGAGGAAAATATTTATATACAGTCACCTCAAGTGAAAAATAAAGCAATGTAAACTTAAATTCCAAAATATTATTTCAAATGATATAACAATATCCCCAAAAGTCCTTCCTCCGCGGAGAAGAGGACTGATTAAGTGCCTTCATTTATCAGGAAATGATCATTCTAGTACCAGTTACATGAAGCAGAATAAAGGAGGGCATCCTGTGGTACCTGTAGAAAAGAGTGACAACTCTGCTTCAGGAAACCATCTCTGTGTAAGCAAGCACATGTTTGAGTCCTTGTGGACACCAGCAGCACGTGGATGTCTCCCATGAACCAGGATTTGATTGAAGTCTGACTCTGACCACCAGGGAAGAAGGTGCTTTGCTGGCAATGAACACACCCAGGGACAGGAAGGAGTGCCCCGGTAAGATAGCCTCAAGCCTGACCACACCACGAGTCAGAGCAGCAAATTTCACGCTGCTGGAAAAGACAGAGTGATTACCTCAATGTCGCCTCACAGCAGAGCCAAGAAGTACCACAGAGCAGTGAGACTGGGACTGCGTCTCTAGTGTGTCGTATGAAGAAACTCCACTGAGTCAGTGATAAGAGTAAAGTGAGATGAACAGTGTGAGAAAGAAGGCTCCTACACTTGGCAAAAGGGACAGGAGGCCACCAAGAGGAAAGATCTTGCAAGGACTGCTGTTTGGCCCAGTAAAGTTAGGTCTGCACAAAGGAGATGGGCAGTGTGCACACATGCATGTGCAAGATGGTCTTTGCACTACTGCTGCTGAGGGTTACTGTTCCCACAGGGGCACTACACCATAGAAACTGTTAATTAGATGCTTTTTCTGAACTGCATCTTCTCAGGCTGAGAACAAGTGCCAATTTCTACTACAACTCTGAACTCATCTACTCACTGCATCACCAAGGGAGGCAGGTAACCCAAGGGAGAGCTTGTTGCCTGGAAAGGATCACAACTGATCCAAAGGAAGATGATGAGGATGTCCCTCTTAATTTCACCCTCCGCTGCAGTCAACTTGCATCTTAGTCTTGCAAGACTGGCCATGGTCCAATTAAGCATACAGCCATGACTTCACAAGTACTCGAGTACTTCGAGCTAACACTATAACATCTGGTAAGATTTTTATGACTCCAGGTAAGAATCCTACCCTCTGGCTTTGCTTCTTCTTTCTTAGAATAATGCAGATAGTCCTAACATTGCACCAGCTAGAGCAAATTGGAAAATCCACTAGAAAATCCTTCCTTATACTTTTACTTAGCCCAGCATCCTCTTAACAACTTGTTTAGATCTCACAAGGGAAACCTTTGGGAGTCAAACAAGAAGCCTTATAGTGATATTTCACTCCTGTTGGTCTTCTTCTCCCCACTGATGAAACAAACACTCTTCTTGAAATCTGTATAATTGCAGAAAGAAACCCTCACTACTACTGCGTGATTCTGTCTGCAGGAGACATCACAGGCACCTGTCCTGCTTGGACACAGTTTTGGACATGACGCCCTTTTGTTGAATTTTCACAGAGAGAGGTCAACAATTTCAGAAGTAAAGCTGTATATTTGATCTTCAGAGTGTGATTTTCAGAAGTAGGCATTGATGCTCATGGTACAGGCATCTGCTAACAGAAATGGGGAGATAACCCAGTGTTGAGCTAGCAGAAAATAGAACCCCGTGATCCTTGCTTAGACTCTCAGATATATGCCTTTGCTTTCAGCTACACACAGCCCCTGGTGGGCAACACAACAGAGACTGAGGCACAGCTCAAGGGATAGCCTAACTCTGCAAAAGCTCTGATGACTCTTTAACTTATTTTGAGAACAATTAGAACAAGCATCCTAACAAAGTGTGCAGCTTCTTAAGTGCTTTGACCAAAATAAGCCTCAGAAAAGAACAGCAGGCTCTGGAGTGTTGAGTCACAGAAGCCATACTATACCTATGGAACACATACACACATCTATAGGCATCACTTAAACACATTCACCAATACTGTAAGCCTCAGATTGTACCTCACACAGAAAGTATTGATTTTAAAGTTTTCAAACTGCCAAAAAACTTTGTTCTTCTAGCCTGAAGTAAGAGGACAGTTGTCACGAATATGTACACATGAAAAAATAAAATAAAAACAAAAATCCAACATCGTTCTCACCCCACAATTTTTCAGAACTTCACAGCACTGAGCACCAAGTATTCCTAAGTGTGCAAGTGACTTAAGACTTTTACTGTCAATAGCATGTGCCTTGCTTGTGAAGCAGCACAGACTGGGAACCACAGATCACCCTTTTCCCAGCAAGAGGCTCTGGGAAGACAAAGGACTTTGTGTCCAACATGTCTCCATAGCAGGTGGCTAGCTGCTAAGTGGTTAAACAAGGATATTCACATTGCCCAAGGCAAAGCTGAAATTCTGTCTGCTTGAGCAAAATGCATCTTGCTGTGCTGGTCTAGTTTAGGTGAATTACAGACAGGATCACTGCTACAAAGTGGCTGCTAGTTGCAAAGGATAATGTCAGAGAAAAGCTGTGTGGCTGTAATTTGTGGCATTTCTAAACCATGCAATGCCAAGTACTGTACTTTTTCCTCAGGCTAAATACACCTTAGGCACGTTCTCCAGCTGATTCCTGGCACAGCTTTAACAGCAGATGCCATGGTAGGTCCCTTATTGTTTAACAATTTATAACTTTTACAGAACACTTCATTACTCAAAGGGAATGATAGAAACACTTTGTGCTGGC